GGTGGTGAGGGGTTGCTTCTCATTTGGGAGAGGAGACTTGGGAAGCCGAGGTGGGCGGTCCAAGGTAATGGCTCAGCCTCTCCTAGGAAAGCCACACTCTTCCCACCCTGTCTTTGTCAGCAGTGGCTTTCTCCCACAGGCCCTTGACTTGAGCGTGAGGGAGGGAAAACCACTGAGCTCCCCTTTGCCCTTGGGGAGGGGTCAAATCATGGGGTTCCCTTAGCCCTATTAGGTCATCCTTCACCTTTGGCCCCTAGGGGTCGCCCCAAAGCCCCCTGCACTCTGCATCTCTCCCACCCTGTCCCTGCAGGTGGCCTCGTGGGTGCTTTTCATTGGCTGCCTGAGCTATGTCAAGGTGATGCTGGGCGTGATCCTGCGCGACCGTAGCCGCAGCGCCCTCTTGTGGTGTGGGGCGGCGGTGCAGCTGGGCTCGCTGCTCGGAGCTCTGCTCATGTTCCCGCTGGTCAACGTGTGGCGGATCTTCTCCTCCGCGGACTTCTGCAGCCTGCAGTGCTCCGCCTAGGGCCTAGGCCAACGGAAAACTGGGGCCCAGGGAGACAAGGCAAGGGCCCAAGGTCACTGGGAAAGTGTTGGGGTGGGGGTGGGGGTCTCTGAGGCAGAGCCTGAGGACTTGAACCATCAACACAAACCCCCCTCCTTAAGGTGGCTGATTCCACAGGCCTCCCAGGGAGCCTGGAAATGCAGAGCACAGCCGTCCCCCAGCTCTGAGTCAGGTGCTTGCAATTCCACTCTCCCAGGGCCTCCTTCCCTCACGCTTGGGAGGGAACTGACTTGGGCACCCAGCTGGCGGCGGGCTCTGACCAGCTGTGCGACCTTGGGGAGTCACCTGATTTTTTTGTGCCGATGTTTCCTCATCCATAAAACGGGGATGGTAATACATAGCACCTACCTCATACACCTGACAGAGGGCTGAAAGGGAGACACCCGTGTGTGGCAAAACCGCCTGGGCCACTTCCTGATCTGATGCCCAACAGTAACGAGAAGAGTGACCTACAGTGGCCAGGGCTTGAGAGATGACCCCTGCCCCATGTCCCTTCCCCACTGTCCTCAGAGGAGCTTCTGGAAGACACGGCTAATGGGGGAATCTCGGGGAAGGGGTCCCTGATTCCCAGTATGGAGGGACACTGTACCCCACTCACCCCTTCCCATCATCCCTCCTGACCCATGACCTCCTGAGAGGCAGAGAGAGGTGGTGGGGGAGGGGCGACACCAAGTGCCCACCCCCAGCTCAGCAAGGCCGACCACTGGACCCCGAGGACCCGGGGAAGCAGGTCTGGGGCCTGGAGGGAGGAGGAGGATGGGGGAGGGCGTTAGTTACCTGACTGTTGTTTGACCTGATTGTTTGTTTGTTTTTATTATTTTACTTTTTGTGTGTTTTTTAAAATAAAGACATTCCCTGCTTTTACACTAAGGTCAGCCTTCCAAGAAAAAGCCCACCATGAACCCTGAAAATGTATCAATATAATTAATTCGCTTTCAGTTGACTTCAAGGTCAAGACTGAGCTCAGAAACGAACAGAATCAAATGCTTCGAGAATGTCTGCATCTGGGATTTCTTTCCTTCCTGGTTTGTTTCGTTGGCTTGCTACCACCCCTTCCTTTTATTTTTAATAGATAATATAGTCACATGTTTCGAAAATCAGAAAATATGAAATGGTGCTCAGCAAAAATAAAAATCCCATCCCTCTTCCCTCCCCATCCACCCAGTTCCTCTTAACACACACGAGCACTTTTTCTTTGTCCCTCCTTTACTCTTCCAGAACTCATGCCAATGTAAGAAAATACAGAGTCTTTACAGAAAAAAATATGAACTACTCTGAAGCTTGCACTTTGACTCAGCAATGACAACGAAGAGCGCAATTTTTGGTTCTTTGTCAGGACTGCATAGTATTCCACTGTATGGAGGTGCCAGACTCACTTAGCCAGCCCTCTGCAGGAAGATGTTTGAAGGTGCTGGAGACAACATTTATTTTAACACGTTAAACGCCATGTCAGTCACCGGTGACGGACACCATACTTTCCGTCCGGACCGGTCAGTCACTGGTGCCGCCAGCGTATCGGTGAAATCGGATATCGCGGGCTAAACGGAAAGGAAGGCAAAACAGGCGTGGCACTTACCGTGTTAAAGTCTCCCACTAACCCAGAAAGCCTCTCCACAAAAGAAGAGAAAGAAAACAGTTTTATTACTGAATAAGCATTAAACGGATTGTGGTGCACATCACAGGCAGTCCACCCATGACATGCAAAGGCGGAGAGGAACCCCTCTCTTTTCTATACAAGCAACTACAACCGATTACACCTGCGGGAGGGCCAGGCAGCACCAATTGTCACAGTTCATCCTGAATTCACCTGTTCGGGGTGGCTCTGTGTTAGCTAGCTGTCCTTATCCACAGGGGAAAAGAAACTCGTATCTTTACGGGGGAGGTTGTTTTGCAACTGGAAGACTAGCACTGCAGGTGAGAGGGTGCTGGGTTTTCTAAAGTAAACGCTCTAAGAAAAGGGAGAAGGGATGTCTCCCTCCTTAGCTCAGGGAGTTCTCCCATTCGTGTTAGCACAGCCTCTACCAGGGCGTGTGGGTGGTTTCAGGGCATTCTCTCGCAGAAAGAAGGCTGGAGTCGATAATGAGCAAGAAGTTCTCTGCTGACTCAGGAAGATGCTCCAAGATTAATGACACACACGGAGAGCAGATGCAGAAGAGCGTGTACAGTACAGAGCTGGTCACACTGGGATCTGCTGCCAAGGATGAGGTGAGAAGGCGAGCGATAGGATATGGAGAAGGCGCCTTCGTTTCATGCCCCTCTGTGGTTTTGCTCTCACTCACCATCCTTAGAAGTCTTGATGGCCGTACAACCTTTCAGTTAGCCTTGTCTCCTCCTCTGTACAGTGGGGATGATAAAAGCACCTCCCTCCCATTTTATAGGCCTTTTTGTTTTTAAGTGAGCACCTTCTAATGCTTCAGGCATAGGGCCTGCGCCTGTGTGCGTGTCCCAGGCCCTGCAGATGGGGTCATGTGCTAGCAGTGGTCCAGGTGGGGAATGACCCAGCCAGAGCCCCCCGAAAAATGGACTGCAGAGTCAGGGCACAGACCCTCGCTCTGAATCCAGGGTTCTTTCTGATGAACTGATGGCATAAGTACCAAGGTACCACACTGCACATTTATCCTGGAGGAAGTGGCCCGGGAACTTGGAAATGGAAAATCAGGCCGGGACTTTAAGGAGTGGCCCGCAGAGTCATCGGAAAGAGAATCCGTAGGGATTACACCACACGCTTCCTCGGGTTGGTCAGCACGGGAATGCCCCCCCCCCCCCAAAGGGAGCATCTACCCTTCATCCTCACTGATGGCCACCACGGTGACCGTCAACCTGACAGCCCTAAAGAGCCTTCCCACTGCCGCCCTTCCTGGTTGGCCAGATGCCAGGCCAGGGGGCGGGGAACATTCCTGTGGTCATCTGCTGAGGAAGGGCCTCCCCAAGCCCTGGGTTCTTCCTGAGACTTTACTGAATTAATCTCACAGAAGCCCTAAAAGTACTTTCTATTATTACCAGCACTATTTTGCAAATGAAGAAACGGAGGCACAGAGAGGTTAAGTGTCTTGGCTGAGGTCACACAGCCAGTGAGTGGCAGAGCCAGGCCTTGGACCCAGGCCACCCAGGCTCTGCATTACTTGGTATTTCTGTGTCAGAGGCATGAGTCTCAAAGCATGTGAACTAGCCAAGAAAACCTTGGCTTCAGATGGAGATAAAGGGCCTCCCCTGGCTCACTGTCTTCTGGTTTGAAATAGAAATAGAAAACTTCACCCCGGTTGGGTAGCTCGCTTGGTTAGAGCATGGTCTTGATATGCCAACGCCGCGGGTTTGATCCCCAGTCAGGGCACATGCAAAAATCAACCGATGAATGCATAAATAAGTGGAACAATAAATCGATGTTTCTTTCTCCCTCTCTCTCTCCCCCCCCCCCCTTCCTCTCTCTAAAATGAATAAATTTAAAGAAAGAGAGATAAATAGAAAACTTCAATCCAGTCCTATGGTCTCCACTCCATAACACACACACACTCAAATTCCTCTGGAAGTGAGAAGAAGGACTGAGAAATTAGTGCTTTTGTAGCAGGATGTGATTTGCACACACACAGTCTACTGTATCGCTTTAAGAATGACTAGTAGAGGGGCTGAAACTCGCTCACCAGAGAAGGTCTGTCACACACCCTGTCTTGCAATTCTGGTTTTGCAATGGGATGGCCTTTCCTGATTCTCTCAATATATTTATCAAAGGTCAAATCTGGGGGAAGTGCCCTTTCATTTGGAAATTGCTGGGAGCAGCTGGCTCCTGGGTGTGCCTTAAGAAAGTTGCTCTATTACAACTTGCAGTTTGGCCTGGGGGAAGGAGGGTTTGTTCTCTCACAGGGTTCAATGGTTAGAATGAAAGATAAGATACAGAACTTTCTCTTTTGCTGAGGGAAGATATTATTATTGAGAGAATGAAGCCCTGCTAGTTGCTATAAAGTCCACTTTCCTGTTTCTTTATAGTCATAGAGCCCCTGAGGTTTAGCTGGCACATGGGAGCCCAGAGTAAAGAACACATTTCCTGGGATTCCTTGCGGCTATCAACGGCCATGTGTTTACATCAGACAAACATTGCCAAGAGTAATGTGTATGACTTCCAGGTTGTGTACCTAAAAGGCAGAAGCAGGACCTCCGCTTCCCATTTACCCCTTCGTGCTGGTGGGATGCAGATGTGATGGCTGGAGCTGGAGCAGCTGTCTTAGACTATGAGGAGGAAGCCAGAGGTCAAGAATAACAAAACATAGTAAGAGCCTGAAATCATGACTTGTGAGCCACCATTCCTACTGGGACCCAGATTTAATGTGACAGAGAAATAAGCTTCTATGTGGTTTAACAGCAGAATTCTCATATCCTTAAACGTGCGTTCCTCTATATGTATATGTAGGTGCACACACACACTCACACATACGATCACACAGGAAGGGGACTGGAATGATATATATAAAAACGTTAGCCCAGTGAACCCAGGGAGAGGGATATCTGTGGTTTTCTTTTTTTCTTCTTGACACTTTGCTGTGCTCTCCAAGCGTGTGTTATTTTAAAGCTCAATAAAGTCTAAAGAAAGGAAGGCTCCTATAAATAGATCCTATTGTTTAAAATCACCTTCATTTGCTTCTTATTCCAAAGATCTCACACACACACACACACACACACACACACACACACACACACATAGATCTTATGGAATAGTTGGCTTTGTTTCCTGTGGGTTATAGAACTTTTTTTTCAGATGTTCTTTCTACTGAACAAAATGTCTTGGGGGATGGTTCCGTGTCCCTGTGTATAGGGTGACCTTATTTCTTGTAACCACCACAAAGCCCTTTCTGAATGGCCTTTACTGAATGGTTTCCGTTGATGGAAATCTATACTGTTTCCAATTTTAAGCTACTGAAAACACACACACACACACACACACACACACACACACACACACACACGCAGTAATGAAAGTCCTCAGACCTGCCTCTCTGCATCTATACAAGGCTTTGAAGTCTCACAAACTTGGGTTTTAATCTGTGTGACCTCAACTTACTGTGCATCCGAGTCTCCGTCTCCTCCGCTGTAAAATAGGGGAAATAATGAAGCTTGCCCCGTGCAATTATTGTGAGGATAATAACAAATAAGATGTATCATGTGATTTCTGCACGTCAGGCACTTTTCTAAATGCTTCCCATGAGTTAGCTAAGTTCATGCTCACCAGGGTGAGGGTGAAAGATGTCCTGAACGTTTTCTAGAAGCTTCCAGCTTTCACACAATCAGCAGGAAATCCTCTGGCTAAAGCTTCACATGGAGCCCTTCCACAGTCTTCTTAGAAGTGGTGGTTAGAGAAGATACTTGTATGATTTCAACCTTTTAAAGTTTATCGAGATTCATTCTGTGGCCTAACAAATGGTCGACCCTGGAGAATTTTCCATGTGCATTTGAGAAGAAGGTGTATTCTGCTGTCGCTGGGTGGAGTGTTCAATAGGTAGATGTCTTTCAGGTTTAGTTGCTGATAGTGTTGTTCAAGCCTTCTATTTCCTTCTGGATCCTCTGCTTAGATGTTCTTTCCATTATTGAAAGTGGAATGTCAATGTGTCCATCTATTACTGAATTCTCTAGTTCTCCTTTCAATTCTGTCCATTTTTGCTCCGTATACTTTGGGGCTCTGTTGTGAGGTGCATATATGTTTATGCTTTTTACATCATCCTGATGGATTGACCCTTTGAACATTAGAAAATATCCTTCTTTA